AACGTCCTCAACTCGGAGAGGCCAGGTTTCACAAGTATAGAGCAAAACTGCTCTCACCGACGCGTTGTAGATCCGGCCTTTTACAGCCAGACTAACATCACGAAGGCGCCAAAGATGGCCCAGATTGGCATAAGCCGCTCTGGCTTTCACTATTCGTGCATTGATCTCATCACTCACACCCCCACCAGCACTTATGCAGCTACCCAGATACACGAACTTCTCGACTACTTCTATCTGCTCACCATCCCGGGTGAGTACAGGATTAGAATCCTGCCAGTCTTGTAGAAGTACTTTGCACTTCGAAGGTGCAAAGCACATACCATACCTACGGACACTGATTGCCAACTGATTAAGTGCGGATTGCATGCCTTGGGCATTATCGCACAGTAAGACAATATCGTCCGCATACTCAAGGTCGAGAAGTCTTTCTCCAGGCAACAGATCCACACCACCATTACTTACATTCATCAGAGCTGTTTCCAGAATGTCATCGATGGCAAAGTTGAAGAGGAATGGTGAGATTGGGCAACCCTGCCTAACCCCACTGCTCGAATGGAACAATGGAGAGAGGTGGTTCTATGCCCTCACTCAGCCTGAGGTATTTGTATATAGGGCTTTCAGGATAATAATAAACTTCGCAGGCAGACCCTTCTTCAGTAGACAGTCCCAGAGAACAGTCCTATCCAACGAATTGAAGGCAGCCCTGATGTCAAGAAACACTACGATTGTTGGCCTTTGAAAAGTATGGCGGTGTTCTAACATTTGGCGGAGGGTGAAGATATGATCAATACATCCTCGACCAGAACGAAACCCAGCCTGCTCCTCGCGAGTCAATCTTTCTCGGGTTTTGAACAACCTACGAAGTATGACGGAAGCCAATAGCTTGGACGCAATCGGAAGTAAACTTATCCCCCGATAGTTGTTACAGGAACGACGTGAACCCTTTTTAAAGATAGGGACAACTATCGACGCATTCCACGATGTTGGAACACACTCTAATTACTAGACCTTTTTAAACAACGTCGTCAATTCCTTAGTCAGAATGTCAGCACCATCTTTAAAAAGAGCCGGAGGTAAATCATCTGGGCCAGGTGATTCGTAACGCTTCAAGAGTTGGAGTTCCTTGCGGACTTCCGCCTAATTTGGTGGATCAGTCGTCACCGGCTATGGATGGCAGGGCAGTCTGACCGATGTTGCCGGAGCAGCAGGTCAGTTGAACTGCCCTTCGAAAAATTCTGCCCATCGTCCAAGACGTCGATGGATGTTAGTGATTGGCATCCCATCATCCTCGCAGATTGTTTCACTCACACCAGACTTCTTGCTGCCAGTGGCTCGGATGAGCTGGAAGAGCTTCCGGTAGTTACCAGATGCAGCTGCTGCTTCCAGCTCATTAGCACGCATCGACCACAAGGCTTCTCGGTCCTTACGCAAGCTTTGCCCGATTTCCTTACGTAATATCCTTCGTTTATGGTCAAACTCACGGTCACCCGGAGTAGACCGACGGGCTTCAATGAGTTGTAAGGAACCAGAAGAAACCCAGTGCTTAAAAGCGGGACGTTTCGCAAACCCACAACTGACTGTTCCCGCCATTTTCATGGTGTCATGCAATTGCAACCAATGCTCATCTATACTTTTCGGTGGAGTGGTAGCTAGCCTAGAGGCTAGCTCGGTTCGATACTTACTTGCAACAGAAGTTGCAACCAGCTTGCTAACATCAATCTTTTGGTGGTGGTCACTTCGTTGTCCACTGAAAAGTAAGGCAAGATTGGCGCAGACCAAGGAATGGTCAGAGTCCAGATAGGTACTCCAAAAGGAGCGGCAGTCTTGTACACAACCACGCCAGCGGTAGCTGATCGCGATGTGATCAATCTGAGTCCAGGCTTGAGATGCAGAGGGAGGACGCCAGGTGGCACTTCGGCGATGACTGTGCCGAAAGTTAGTGCTAGCCAGAAACAGGTTGTGGTCTGTGCAAAGTTGCAGTAGACGGTCCCCGTTATCTGACCTGCGACCAACGAGTCCCCATCGGCCACCTAAACGACTCTCTTCTGTGCCTAGACGCCCGACCTGAGCATTCAAGTCTCCGGCTAGTACTACAATATCTGTCGAACGCACTTTCTGAAGAAGAACAGATAACTGGTGGTAAAACTCATCCTTGATTACATCCGGGCTGCAATCTGTCGGGGCATAGGCGGAGATAACGAAAAGACATCGTTTCTCACGCCGATTTCTTCTCACTTTGATGGAACTTTCTAATCTAACAGCACATAACCGACTGTTAATGGGGATCCAATCGACTAGTGCTGCCTCAGCTCTAGCGCTCAGTGCGACACCAACGCCAGCAAGACCAGACGAAGATGCCACAGGGTCCCCGGATAAGCGCACGTAAAACAAGCTTTTCGAAGCGACAGATGGAGATCGAATTTGTAGTACTTCACCAGAGTCTTGAATACGGGTCTCGGATAGACAACAAACATCAATATTAAGACTTTCCAAAGACATAGCCAGCCCTATCTGTTGTCCGACCTGCATAAGTGTGCGAACGTTGAAGGCAGCCAGTTTGAATGGTGCACGTGGTTTCAGAAAAACTGCTTCAGTCCTCGTATTCGGTGGTAACATACAATTTTCAACCGGACAGTGACTCGAGAACGTTTAGATACAGTCGAATTTCCACCAAAGACGAGCCGCTGTATAAGTATAAAAGAGGGTGAATAATGTGGATAATAATAATAATAATAATAATGACAATAATAGTAGTAATAATAATATTAGTATTAATAATGACAATAATTGTAATGATAATCTGAATCAATTGTTTGTTTTTCAAAGCGAGAAAGGCAATTTCCATAGGCATAAAGAGTTCATCAATTTGTGTGTGGGCTGTGATACTGCCCGGGTGCCCAAACCGAAGCATGTGGTTATCTTAGGGGGCCACTCCCCGAGCCTTTGACCTAAAGGTCTAACCCACAAGGCAGTGGAGCATCGTAAGGAGATGCAGTCCCATGGTAGCCGGTGACCAACGATTGGTTCATACGCCATGTACCATGTACCATTGATTTGGAATCCGGTTAAAGCGCCGGACATTCGCTTTTCGTCCTCTCATTTTCGTAAACAACACCCCCGCCACGAGAAGGCAATGAGTAGGACTTCCCTGGCAGAGGCTGTATACGCGTGGCCGTGTGAGAGTATATATTGGACTAGTAAATATATAATGTTGGTTGTTAGAACACTGCTGTAAATGAATTGGATATTATTTCTCCTCATATTACCATTATTCTTATTTTCCCGGCTTCTATAACAATAAAAGCAAGAATATAAAATGAGGGTTTTTACAAAATATATATTTCAACTAGCTTTGTCACTTTTGTTAGAGAGTTATTATCAGTACTCGATTTGATATTCAATTGAAAGCAAATAAAAGCAATCTTCTTGTATCTTTGGTTATTATATATTTATGCGATATTGTTTTTATTAATATCGATCTGTAGTTTTTTCTCGTCTATCTTCTTCAGTAACAGTTCATTAGTTTAATTACAAAATCCCAAATAAAAAGTAATTTCGAATTATTACAAAAATGTTGTTTTGATAAATATAAATAAAAACTTAATTAGGTCCCCTATGTATTTCTACCATGTATATATTAAACGTGACTTATCAATAGTAAACAGTTAAAAGCCAAAAGCTTTAACTTTTTTTAGCTTGAAATGTTCAAGATGTTTATTATAGGTTACGATCACCCCTAAACGAGTATGGTTCACCAAGAACTAACTTCTAATGAGATATTGAAAGTTCTTAAAAAAGCCACGATCCATTTAGTTTTATCATGACAACAGTAAGACAGAAGTAATATATAATATTGAGTAAGGGTCATATTATATTATGAATCAAATTAAATTTGAAACGTAGACTATATTTTAAGGCAGACTTCTAATAACATTGTGCTCGTCAATCGACCAAACGTTCTACTTTGTGGTGAACACAAATCTCGACAAAACAACTGTTTAGTTCTCATCGGTATTCAATGAATCATCAGCTGACTGCTTTCACGGTGAAAACTGTCCAAACAGAACAGGATCGTCTATTCACATAAAAGGTATAAGGTCAGGTAAAAGTATTAGGTTGTTACTGAACGTATTACAAAAAATCATTCGATAATATTCATAGCAAAAATCGCTAATTTGCAATAAGTATCCACTATGTGCATTAATAGTATAATATGAACACATATTTGATAGCATTTAATGTAAGCGAATGCAGAAAAACATAACTTCAAAAACTTACAGTGTCTTCGTAAGATTGGTCAAGAGGGTTTTTAAAACAATGTTGTATTTTCAAAACCCCTGTTTCCTTCAGTAGAAAACACAATAAAATATGAAATAAATATTTCACTCCTCACGTTAGACCATGCATTAAAAATAGAACTTAACACTATACACATAAAATGACAAGTTAAACTACAGTAGGAGCAAAAATCGATACATATAGACAACTGTTCCCCGCATTATTTCTTTACTGTAATGTTAATCAGTTACTCGTGAAGAATAAAAACAACTCATTAGGGAACCTTATTCGACTATTAGAAGTTTTATTTATGAAGACAGGATCACAGGATCACTGATGATCTGAGCATAATGCTGAGTTACGTTTAGTTTAAAAGTAGATGCCAACAGCGCCAACTATCAAATGGGAAACCATTCAAATTAAGGGTATATCAATCTGAGTTTTGATTTAATAGCTTAAACGTCGTGTTTCTGCTAGACTTATGGATCCTGTGTCCGGTTGTGTCTGAAATATTGAATATGGACTGCTTAAAAGCTTCTCATTTTCATCATTTCATCTCCTAATCAGTAGTTTACTTCCTTGAATACACTGCATTTTCTTGACATCTGGAGTGATCTCTATTGTTTTATTTATAACTTAGAAATTTATAATTATTTGTTTACCCAACTGTTTATTTTTGTCTGTATGTTAATTCCAGTGTCCTTCTATGTCTTCTTTTGCAGTTATCTAGTATAATGGAAGTAGCTTGTGAAATTGAAATGATTAAAGATCCCGAAACAAGAAAATCAAATATCACATATGTGGCAAGACACATTGAGGATGCCTTGAGTTCACAACGTGAATATCGATCCGGTTGTGGTGTGCGCTTTAAACATTGTTTAGCCAAAAGTTGCTGCTTATGGTTCGGTAAACGTTACGGAAATTATTTAATATGCTTATATCTAATTACAAAATCACTGTACATATTCAATGTGGTTGGGCAGTTTTTTTTAATGAACAAAATTTTGGGCACGAATTACACATTTTATGGTTTGGATTTACTCCGTGATATAAGTGAGGGTTATGTGTGGCAGGAATCAGGCAATTTTCCACGTATTACGCTTTGTGATTTTGAAGTACGCAAGGTGGCCAATAAACATAGGCATACTGTACAGTGTGTACTACCCATCAACATGTTTAACGAGAAAATCTTTATATTTCTATGGTTCTGGTTTATATTGGTAGCGGCTGTGAATACAAGTAGTTTTCTATATTGGTCATACAAATCAAGCTTTCGTGGAACAAGAATTCAGTTCATTAGAAAATTTTTAAAATTACGTGGAGCGCTAGAACCAGGTGATAAGAAAAGAACATTAACATTTGTTGATTCATATTTAAGACAAGACGGTGTGTTTATTTTGAGACTGACAGCACAAAATGCTGGTGAACTAGTTGCCTCTGAAATAATTGAAAAATTATGGAATATGTACAGAGCGCATCAAAATATAAGCACAACTTCAACATCTCAGCCACTTTCTTACACTTTGCCGCAACAACCTCAGCTGCCACAACATCAACCGTCACACCGATCATCACATCACCACCATCATCACCGTTCCAGTACAGCCTCAAGCACTAATAGACGTGCAAGCCGATCGCTTACTCCAGTAAGTCCTTCAGATTCATCAGAAATAAGAAGAAAACCACCTCCGAGCTATCCGGCTTACCATTTACGACCACCACCAGCTAGTCCGGCAGGAAATCAACTTCCTCCTCCTCTTCCTCCATCCCTAAGGCCATCAGCACCACCACCTCTTCCTCCAATACTAGGAAAAACAACTAGTAGTAGCTTAGATGGTACAAGTAGCTCTATAACAAGTCATAGTCAGCCATCCACAGTAACTGAAAACACTGATCAGTTTGTAAGAATGAGATCCGTTATTTCAGGTAGTATAGGGTTTGAAACATTAAGACCAACTGAAAGTCAGTCAACAGATTTATGTACTAACACCGATATAAAGAAGAGACTACCCACTACTGGGAATAGCTCTTTCCCGGGTGTAGTTAGTGTTAGATCTATTAACTCCACACAACAACATCAGGCAAATAATCAAAGTTCACAGATCCGTAGTCAATCAGAAGAAGATCCTGGAGAATTTGTCTAATAATACATTATTTTTCCATTCATTGCTGGTATAACAAAAGACAGTAAATATTCCTTCCTAAGAATCTTTTAAACTGTGATTTATAAATACTTCTCACTGCTTCTATTCTTTTTGTACATTCAATACCTTCCAGCTGCCTGTATCAACCAGCATTTACCATCAATAAAATTACTTAAAAATTGATTTTCTTAAAGACATTAACTCCACTCTGAACATTTCAACTTTCTTGCTGTTAAAAGCCCCACTGCGATCTATTTTCAAAGTCTATTCATCTTTATTCAAACATTTATCTTTACAATGCTTAGATTATTTTCGGAGTAACAATTATATAAATGGATTTAGAGTACATCTTTTCAAATTGAGACAATAGACTGAAATGTGCTTAAATTGTGAATAGAACATTTAAATTAATAAAAATATGCACCATTTGTACATGTATGTCCTTGTATATATCAATGAATATATATATATATATATATATATATAACTTTTGTAATACTCTAGTCCACTATGCCTTGCTTGAAGTAATATTATGAAAGCCTTACATTAGCACATGCATAAAATAACCAAATACGTTAGTAATGTTTTCATTTCCCTTTCTCTAAACAATATCACAATAATCAAAACTCCTAAATTCAATTAACTTAACATACATTTTTAAAATTGTGTATTATAAGTTTATTTTCGTTTTTAGTTTTAAATGAAAAGATGTTTGTGTACAGAAATGTATGAAATAAATGATAATAAATAAAATAACAATGACAGACATTCCAAAATGAAAAGAAGCGTCTGTCTCATGGTTATTCAACCAAATTTTTTAATCTTCTTTTGAAAATATTTAGGTTCTCGGTACTTGATCTAGATAATTAAGAATGAAGATATCTTGGTGTATTTTGTATTGTCCCCAATGTTTAAACTACTTGAAAGAAAGAAAACTGTTATGAAATAAATATTTATATGGCCTGAATTAAAATGTATCAACTCGAACGACATTCATTGTTAGTTGATTTACACAATTAAAATGGCGTAACCATCTCATTCCGTAGACAGCTGTCAAGGATATTTTAAAAAGTATTTACCAATTCTAGCTCATTCGAAATCCTAACCTGTATTTACAATGAGGTTAGACATGATGTACATCGAGTTGTGTAGAGATAACTTGAAAACAAGGGAGAAATAATTATTTTAGTAATATTAACCAAGGTATATCAAGTGACTGGCAAGAATATGTGCTATTTTTGACTAACTCGTATTCATTAACCACAACACAAAACAGCATTCTGATCTATGAGTTAAGTATCAAAGTAATTTGAAATTAAAACTACAGATTTTTGGCCATATTTACATAAACCACTGCCTAATGTCCCCAACTTTATTTGCCGTCGAACTCTTGCTACACTCCATATGGTACTCAAATTAACACCAGGTTGATAGATGGAATAAGAACTTCCGAAATATATTTACTTGAGTTCATAAGCGAGAAAATGTAGTCTGAAATTCCTATGGATTTATTCTACTATTTTGGAAACAGTATGAGATATTTCATTACTGAAGAGGGGGAAAATAATCATGCAGTCATACTAATGTTCCTGTATTTGTCTATTTTCATAACTATTAAAATAAATTTCATCTAATCATCAGTTTGGTGGAAAAGTTAAACCTTAGAAACTGTTGGATTTTACATGAAAATTTACATAAGTTTTTTGCTCTTTATGTGACAGTTATTTCTAAGTCAACGATGCGAAACTGAGTAGTGTCATTATTATTGAGGGTAGAAAGCTTATGATTTTCGATTTAACTGATGTCGCTGACTTATGCACGAAATTCGATTATTATGTTACTATGGTGTTCCGAAGCATGTCTTAAAAAGCAAATATAAAGTTGTTATGTATATATCAAATAGTACTTAAAATGTACACATATCAATTTCAGGCTTTAAACGAAGGTCAATGTAATTCAAATTTTGAAAGAGCATGTTTGTTAGACATTTCCATAATCTGCCAAAAAAATCATAAAAATAGTTTCGTTAGCGTAATAAGAAGACGAAGATTATCAGAGCTATGTGATGATATATTAGTGCAATACATTTCGAATAATCTGATCACACATAAACATTTTAAGAACATTTATATATTAAAATAAAAGATCAGTTAGACTACATATAACTTTTTTAACAAGTTTATGTGTGATCAGATTGTTCGAAATGTATTGCACTAATATATCATCACATAGCTCTGATAATCTTTGTCTTCATATTACACTATCGAAATTTATCAAAACGACTAATTGCTCTAAAAACAGTTATTTCAGCATTGATTACAGTAGAACTGACCGTACATCAACTGACGTTTATTTAAGAAATTATTATTAGTTCGGATCCTTAACATTGTAAAGAGCAATATTTGCTTCTGTAATTGTATAATATTTTGTTCGTTACTAACAATATTTACAATCGTAAAAAGGAAATAAATCATATTTCATAACCATACATTTTATCACACATTTTCCAGAAAGGAATTTCTTTTTTGAAGAAATCTTTACCCCTTGTTCGAATAAATGGAGGGTTGAACTAGGCTAAAAATGAACAAATAAAAAGATATTAGCATGTAAGAATGATTAACTTGTTCATTTATTTATATTCAATGGTGAATTGCTCATTGAAATTATTAAGTTAATTGTTGCTGAAAATTATTTCATAATGTAATGAGAAGACAACTATTATCGGGACTAAGTGAAATATAAGCTCAAAACATTTCAAACAGTCTGATTGCATACATAACTGAAAAGACATTTATATCCAACCCTGCTTTTCCTTTGTAAATGTTGAGATATACTGTAATGAAGACCACTGCTAAATGAGACGCCTTTGTTTACATTTGTTTCTGTGTATGCGAAAGCGGAGAACAAATCATCCAATTATATTCAAGGTTTCTACTGTATACCATGGTTTTCTGATGTGAAGTTCTTTGTAACCCAATCCACAGAAATAGAAAGGGCAGGGTTATTTAGATTTTCCTGACTCAAGTCTTTTCAAAAAGTGCATTTTGAGCTATCTCTTATGGGAGAATTCGCAGTTTATTCCGTTGTAGAAATTCCCCATGATAGTGGAAATCTTCTCAGATACTCCATAGTGCCACACGATCGGATTCTTTCACAAAATCACCAAAGTTGGTGTATAGAGATCATTTTGAGCGCTATGAGTCTTCCATCCTATAAGTGCTCATTTGAAATTTCTTCTGAGTGTTCACCTTGTTGAAATGACTTTGCTACACATACTGAGCTTCTCCCACAGATAAATCCTTAACGTTCATTAAGCTAACGCTACGTCTCTCATAATTAATACTTTAAATTAGATGACAGTTATAAATCTTAATAAAAAATGTAAGGCAAGACAATATTTTGATAAGTTCAGTGTGGGAAGTGTCTTTTCGAATGTCATTTACTAAAGCTGCTTTATCCTCTGTATAGTTATTTTACGTATGGTACTCTACAGTAAAATAGGAAATTACTGAAACATTAACAAAGATAAAAGTATTTATGAAAACTTTAGTGTTGAAGTAAGGATAATAAAAGAGATACGACACAAATGAAGATGTAAAGGATAATTCTTCATTTAACAAATATAAACAAGCAACGAACGCGTGTTAATAAAAAACTAGAAAAATTCGAAATGAGCGGTAGGATCATAACAAAATAAGGCTTAAACATTTGGCTAAGCGAAAACGTCTCATTTAAACTTCCCCTAGGTCCAGTTCGTTTGACTTAGTGAATCATTTGGAATGAAGAATTTAGTGGACATTCATGGTTTGAAATTCAATAGTCGAACTCTTGACTGATTTGTACTCAACTTTCCATAACCGTAATGAGTAATCCTACAATATATGTTAGGAAAAAAAACACTGTGTGGAAAGGATTTTGTCGCAAATTACTATGTACGAATGAAAAATATAAATACGATTGTATAAGTTTGACAAATGATAGTAGAAAAGAAACGTTTCTTAATTGAATTGTCTTCACTTTGGTAAACACCTATAGTGCAGGTGAATGTCAACAAGAAAGGTTATGAACAGTACATTCTTCTTATTTCTATATAACACACGGTATAACGTGTTTATATAAATATTGACTGATAAAGTGCGTTAGTTACTCAACGCCCAAACTTTTCGTTTCACTAATATTCAAGCCTAATTTATATTGTTATTACACCAAAGTATGAAAGTATGATTCATGACATGGAACTGTTGTTTACTATTAAAGAATAGAAAAACGCCTAATTTTTTTTGAGAATACGGATTATCATAGTGGGTGCAGAATCTAAGCCAACTTTCTTAATGACCAAGCCTTAATAGAGCAATTTTTTGCATTTTCATAAGCTAGGGTAAATGTATAACTGATAAACCTGACTTGTCATTGTTATATTCATCCATCAATCAAGAGTGAGTATAGATGGAAACTATATTGTAGTTTAATTACTGCTGTTATTGCCATAACCCATAATATAACTTAGAAAAAATAATCCTTAAACTGAAGACGTCTTAAGACAAACATAAAACTGATGAACTACCATTCTGATAGTTTATTCGCTTATATTCCACACAAGAATATGAAACCAGTAACATCCTTCATCTACGTAAAAGTAAAAGAGACTGGGTTTTCTGTACGTTAGTTACGCAGCCACTGGAGATCACGAAGATTTAAATATAAAGCATTTCCAACTTTTAAGAAAATCACTTCAAAATGAAACGTATTGCTCAGTTCTTTTTCTATATTCCATTAATCGACACACGTCACTGACGGACTTTTTTAAACAACCCCGGAAAACACTAATTTCTAGAAATACAACTGATTTTCTCCTTCACAGACTGTTAATATTTTTAGATAGACGTTACCAGTCATTCATCAAACATACAGAAATCGAAAGCGTACAACTATAGAATGTTGCAATTTTATATTTCTTCATTACGTCCTACAACTCATACAATGGCTTTAATGCAATAGAAAATAATGTATCCACAAATAGACTTAATGTATTAGTTTTGACAGGATATACCGATGACTAGTTAACATAAATCGGTCATCAGGTACTGAAACAAATGTTGATATTAATAAAAGGGCAAGACATTTACGTAAAGCTGATGTTTTATATCAAAGACACTATAAAATGAATTTCCAGTTCTCCATGGTGTTCTTCAAGATAAACTTTTCGCTGTCACAACGAGATTCATACTCCTAATGAATGGGATAAATGATCAACTATTGCTAAGAAAAACATAAATGGAATATTTCAGTAATACTTTGGGTTGGTATTTTAAGTACATGATACTATTTATTTTAACTGTAGATAAATTAAATGCAAAAACCTAAATAAGGTATATTGCTAAAAGGACGTGAGAATCAAGCAAACGCTTTGAGTTCCAATTGAAATCGACATCTGATTTGTAGTTGGGTCTTTCATTTAAATTGGTAGATTACAGCCAATTCAGCTG